TGAGGTATGAATGGGCAAATTCATAGAGACAGAAAGCAGGTGGCAGGTGCCGGGGCAGGGATGGGGAGTTAGTGTTTAATGGGAACAGTTCCATTTTGGGAAAACGAGAAAATTCTAGAAATAAAGAGGGGTGGTAATTGCACAACATTGTAAATGTACTTAATGCCATTGACTAGACACATAAAAATGGTTAAAATGGTAAATGTTATATGTCTCTTACCGCGATTTTTTATTCCTCACCTGGGGATATATTTATTGATTTCAGAGAGAGGGGGAGGGGGAGAGAGCGAGAGAGAAACATCAATCAGTTGCGTACCATGGCGCCCCAACCGGGAATTGAACCCACAACCTTTTGGTGCATAGGATGATGCTCCAGCCAGCTGAGACACCCGGCTGGGACATGTCTTTTACCACACTGTTAAAAATCCATTTGTACTGGAGACAAACCAAAACAGTAAAACCTTTCTTAGCTTGTGGGTCTCGTGAAAGCAGGTGGCGCTGCAGCTCCCTTCACTGAGGAACGAAACGGACTGCGTGTGTCTTTTCTGCGGGTGAGAGACCTTCAAGTGTGGACACTGAGTGCCATGTGCACCCAGTGAGGCACCGCGGTCACATTTGCAACACTGCCCCTCCATGCCCCCGGTTCCTCTGCACGTCCCTCAGACTGGCTCCTGGAGTCTGGCCCCAGGCACTAACTACATGCAGTACCAGTCCCAACAGGATGTGGGAAGGGACAGTTCTTGAAGGGGAGGCCATGGCAAGGAGGTGGCAGAGCTTCCCCCTGGGCCTCTGCAATCTGCCCCAGGGGCTTCCTCTTAGCCCCGGATGTGGGTAGGGAGGGCTGGGGGGCCAAGGGAGGTATATTACCCAAGAGAGGAAGTCCCATACCTGGAGGCCTTACAGAGAGAGATGGCAGCAGTGTGACATTTCTGTCCGAGATGTGGCCTGCTGCTCCTGCTTCTGCCCAGAGCGCCAGTGGGGGGACTGGGTGCAAAGCAGTCCCTGCAGCCCCATCCCCCACAGGGGCCCAGGGGTCCAGGTCCCACACACCTATGGGCCCGGCCCTGCCCAGGATGGGCAGGGGCTGGTCTAGCCATGGGTCTCTTGGTTCCCTCATCCAGCCCTCCCTCCCCCGCAGGCTGAAGGCTCTTCCCCTCCCCCTCCTCCTCATCCCTGGGCTGCTGGCATGTGGCAAGTCACTTTGGATTAATGAGAAGATCCAGGATGTTAGCAGCCCTAAGTAAGGGCTTTGACATCCAATCCCAGCAGGGGCCTCAGGAGTCCCTCTGATTTGGACCTGGAGTGAAGATCAAGCCGGCCCCATCCCCAACCGGAAACCAAAACTTAACTCTAACCCAACCCAAGCTTAACCCCAATCCCAAATAAACCTCAACCTCAAGCCTAGACCAAACGAAATCTAAAGTTCAAACCTCAACCCCAACCCCAACTAAACCCAGCCTTTAAACAAACCACAACACTAAACCCAACCCAAGCCCCACCCCCCCAGCTCCACCTTTCACCTCAGCTCACACCCTCCTTCCTCCACAATACCCAGCTCAACAAGGACTCCAGGTGAGTTCCCCATCACCTGGCCTCTCCACCAGGGCCTGGACCACCTGGGCCTTCTGCAGGGGAGTGTTCTTGGCCTCCCAGTCATTTCTCCCAGCCCCCAGGGCACATGGGGGAGGGGAAGCTGGGTCTCACAGACCTCCCTTTCTTCCTCCTGCAAGTCCTTGAGGCGATAAGAAACACTGATCTGGGGGGCAAATGGGGACAATTGTAATTGAACAACAATTTAAAAAAAGAAACACTGATCTGGACTGGGAGAGTGTCACCTCCTGAAGGGACCTGGTCACCTGCCCTGTAGGTGGGTAGAGGTCGTTCTTCAGGAGCTCAGTTCTGTTCCCAGTGCCCTGTAACCCCTTCCCCTGTCCCATCTCTATTTCTCAAAGACCCCGGAGGCTCTGCCTCTTCTTCCCCAGGGTCCTGGCCCACAGCCTCAGCCTTCTCCCTGCCCCAGTGGCGGGGACCCCCTTTCCTCAGGACACTGATGTCTCCGTCCCCAGCCTCCGTCCCCAGCCTCCCCACAGCCCACACATCTGGCTCCCATTCCCTGGGAGCCTCCAGCCTGCTAGACCTCCGCCTCCCGGAAGCCTCCTGTCCGGGGTCCAAGCTCTCTCTGCCAGGGCCCGAGGCCACCGGCTGCACGTGTGACTCCACGTGCGGCTCTGGAACAGCTGGGCAGAGGCCACCTTCTCACTGCCCGCGTGCAGGTACCTATTGGACAAGAGCGCGAGGCTGTCCGGTGCGGCCCTTCCCGCACATGAGGTGCCTGGGGGGGCCAGGCCTCGGAGGGCAGAACTGGAGGAAAACCCCGAGGAGGCCAGGAAGAGGGTCTGGGCGCCGCGCTGAGTTTCGTGCCGCGCAGGGGGACTGAACCTGGGCTTCCCCAGAAGAGGGGCGCTCAGACTCTGGAGGGAGGTGTGCTCGGGGGGCGGGGTGGGGGTCCGGACCGATACTTTCTTCTGCCGCGTCCCCGCTCCTCCCATGCTGGACCCCGCCTGTAGCTCCGAGAATGGGGCACCAAGTGCCCTTCGCAGCGCCGACACCCGCGGCTCAGGGCCTCCTGCAAGAAGGGACGGCAGTGCTACCTCTGAGGCCACCTGGACGGTCACCCTCGGCCTTGGGCTTCCCAAGAAGCTGCTGGGTCGTCCCCCCTCACACCCCACAGCCAGGCCCCCTCCGGCTCTGGAGGGGACAGAGGTCCCCGCCCCCACCGCACAGACGCCCCGGGGTTTGTGTGGACCCCTGGGTCACCTCTCAGCCCAGACCCCCGCGCCTGCCGAAGGAGCCAGCAGCGCAGGCGAAGCCGGGGTCGTGGACTGAAGAGTCTTCGAAGGGCCTCCGAGAACGCGAACCCCAGGGTCAGAGTTCGCCTCGCAGGCGCAGCTGCCCGCGGCTACGACGAGCGCTCACACACGACACGGGGCAGGGGGCTGTGTGCCCTTTTGGGGGGTTCCTGGTGCTTAAGGGGACCGTGGCACAGAGTAGACACTCAAGAAATGTCTGCTGAATAGCCACATACACACGTGAATACACCGGCCTTACACACTGTGCACACAGAGGGGCCAAAGGCAGCAGAAACTTCGGGAGGGCGGGCCCCTTGCATGACGGGCATCCCGCGCCGGGTGAGCATTCAGACTCTGATTGGCTGGGCTTGGGTCATGTGGACACCTTTAAGCCAATCCCTGATCAGGACACATTTTCCTTCTAAAAAAACAAACAAACAAACAAAAAAAAAACCTGTTATCCCGTGGAAAAGGGCTGGTTAGTAGCCTCCCAGGCCACCGACACTGTGGCTTGTGGGTCTCCACGGTCACCACTGCCTTTTTCTCAGCTTCCGGAGGGCTGGAGCGCGGTCTTGGCCCCCCTGGGCCGGGGAAAGGTGCACGTCTGGGGTCCCACGCCGCACGCCTGCCCCGCACAACACAGCCCGCGCTGCGTCTGGCCCGGCGCCCCCGCGGCTGAGCTGGGGCGGCCTGCGGCCGAGAGACCCGCGAGGGGCGGCTGCCCTCCGGAGCAGACGGGGTCGGCAGGAGTTCGGAGAAGAAATGGTCCTCCCCAGATCTGAGCCGGGGATCCCAGCGCGCTCCTGAGATCAGTCACAGACTTTAAACCTGCAACCCAACGCGCGCTGCACGTGGTCGTACTGATTATTCCGAAGGGAGAAAACCGACCCTGGAGAGCGGGCCGCCACCTGACACAGGAAGTTGCCCCCTTGGAGCGCAACGCCCCCGAAGGGCCCATGCACATTTGGCTTTGAAGGCTCAGCACCTCCCCAAAAGTAGACTATACTGATGGTTTCAAAATATCATCTACAGGCTGCAGTGCTAACATTTTGGGTATATTATGCTAAATAAAATGTTACTAAAATCAATTTAGCCTGTCTCTTTTTATCTTTTTTAATGTGGCTATTAGAAAATGAATTCAACACGTGGTTCATATATTTTTCTTGGAAGGCACTTAGGCTTACAGAGAAAATCCTAGACTCACATGGAGGAATTTCTCTAGACTTACAGAGAAAGTTCCCCTCGTGCGTTGTTTTATTCTTATCCCGTTTTCGAGGTCGGACGGCCACGAGGAGGGCTTCCCGACACCTGCACGGAACGCAGGCGCTGGAGCGTGCAGACACGTGTGTTGCTCTGGGTCAGCGTGTGTGGCATGCTGCGTGTGAGGGGGTGTGCTCGGTGTATCCGTGAACGGAAGTGTAACTGAGGGTGTTCGGGAGTCTGTGTGTACAAGCGCGTGTTGTGAGCCTGGGCAGGGGAGCAGACGCGGAACCAGAGTGACTCTGCTTCTGGGTGTTTCTTCCACTGGGGTCTTCGGGCCAAGGAAACGGTGGTTCCCGCGAAGGTCAAGGCGCAGGGCTGGCCGCGGCCCCAGAGGCGGGTGTGGGGTTCCAGCGGTCAGCGCGGCGGCCGCACACCCCTGCCTTCCCGCTCCGAAGGGCCTCGAAGAAGTAGAGTTTCTTGGAGCGGACTGCGGGGCGGGGCTGCGGCAGGAGGAAGGAAGATTGGGGGCCCAGGAGCCAGGAGGTGGGGCCCGGAGGGGCCACAGCGTCTCTCCCCAGAGTCAGGAAGACCGGACCAGGTTCACCCAGGCAGACGCGCACACACACGATGCAGACCCGCACACAGCTTTCTGTAAAGTTCCTGTCACCGAAACAAATGATCTTTATTGGATACAATTGACATACAACATATAAACTTAAGGTTACACCATGGTGATCTGCCACATTTTACACTTCAAAATAGTGCCTGTCACATTAGCCAACACCTCTGCCCAGGGCTCCTGACCGTTCCGTTCTGTGTCCAGGTCTGTAGGCTTCTCTTCCTGGTCCTCCCTGAGATCTCTGTCTTCCTAAGACCCCTCTTGACTGGGGGTGTGAATATGCTGCCCCAGGGCAAGAGGGTTCTGGATCCCTGAACAAGGAGGCTGGCCTCTCCTTCCTCACACCACAACCCGGAGATTTCTTCATCTGCTGTGGTTCCTTCCGGGGAGTGAGGGTGGGAGTGTGTGGACAGACGGGCAGACTGGGGATGATGGCTGCTAAGGAAACCTGCGTGAACCCAAAGGCCAGGAGGCAGGCAGCAGCCTCCAAAGACAAGCCTGGGGAGGCCTCAGCCAACAGGAAAGGTTAGGCACCTTGGTACAGGGTGTGGGGTGTCGAAAGGGAAGGGTTGGAATGGAAGAGGGGAGGGGCTGAGAGTGGGGGCCAGAGGGCTTCTTTCCCTCCCCCAAAAGTGTGTGTGTGGTGGGGGGGGCACCCTTTTCTCCTAACCAAGGAGCAGTCACTAACCAAGGTCCCAGTCACTAACTTTCATCCCTAGAAGTGTGTTGTGTGCAGGGGTTGGGCAAACCAGGATTTCTGTGCCCCCTCCCATGCCCACCTTACCCCCACCCCAGAGCTCCAAGCAGGTTTACGAACCCTTCCTACTGACCCACTCACAGGTGTAGATGACCCTGACTATGAGAATATCACCTTGACCTTCAGAAACCAGGACCAGCCAAAGAGCAGCTGCTCACCACCCAAGAGTAAGGGTAAGCAGCCACCTACCAGCCCGTGTCCCACAGCCTGGGGGCATAGCAGGGATGGCAGGCAGTGTGTGGAGGTCAAGGCCAGCAGTGTGGGTAGGGTGTAGTGGTGCCCAGGCTTCCATGTAACAGTGGTGGGGGGTAGCTTTGTAGGTGGCGATGATGGTGGTAGCAGTGATTATGTAGGTGGAATTGTTGGTGAAGGTCTGGGTGTTGACAAGGGTGAGTAGGTGACAATGTAGTGGATCGAGAAGGAATCACTAGACAGAGCTGACGAGGGTGACCAGAGATGCTGATAGGGACAATGGTGGCAACAATGGGCATTGGTGTTGGTGGCTGTTGGTGACAGCTACTGCCAACACTGGTGATGGGTGGTGATGGTAATAGTGGAGGGGGTGTGACTGTCGGAGACCAGTGCTGGTGGCGCAGTGGGTGACGGTGGCAGCTGCTAATGGTACTGGAAGGAGTAGGTGGCAGAGCCATCGACGGTGCTGGAGTCAGTACTGAGAGTCCAAGCAGTGGTGGTGAACCTGGAGGTCACTGGCCCTGCCTCTGTCCTCATCCCAGCCTGGGCCAGGCCATCCTCAGACTCTGCCCAAGCCTCGCACTGGTTGCACACAGCCTTCATGAGCCTGTGCGTTCTTCTCACCCTGCTTTCCATCATCTTGCTGTCCTGGGTCCTGGTGAACAGTGAGTGGGCTTTCAGTTTTGGGGGGAGGGGTCTGGGGCAGCCTGGAGGGGTCCCAGCAGCAGGGGAGGCCCAGTGTTCCCATAGTTCCCCTTTCCCCTAGTTCCTCTCCCTTTCTCTACCCCTGCTACCAGGGCTGCAGAACTGGGACACTTCAAGGGTTGTCCTGTCCCCCCATTCCAAACAGATTCTAAGATGTCCCAGGAGCTGCTAGACTTGAAAGGGGAGCTGTGGAATAATGGTGAGGGGAGGACCCGGGGGAGGCCTGAGGGGCGAGGGTGGGGGTGGGGAGAGCAGCGGTGCCACAGGCATCCCCACGGACACCCTCGGTCTCCATGGTCTCCGTCTCAGTGCACGAATGCCAGGAAAAGCAGAAGCAGAGCTGGAGCCGCATCTCTCAGAGAATCTTTGAACGCCTGGGCATAATCAAGAATGGGACCGAGAAACTGAAGACGCTGTCCACAGGTGTGTTTAGGGACCTCCACTGCGTGGACCGCTGTGCTGGGGAACCAGAGGGGGGCCCACGGAAGCCCCATCCTCCCAGAGTGCAGAGTTTGGAAGGATGATGGATGTTACCTTCCAGCGACTTGGGGGCATTTAAATGCTGCTGGGAACCCCAAGCACTGGGCTCTGTAGCACCCCAACCTGGGGGTTTGGGCAAGGAGGGGTCTTCCAATAAAGGTGGGGGCCTTGTCCGAGGCTCCACCTCAGTCTTCTCCTCTCTCCCCACCCCAACCCCAGACGTAACCCAAATCCACAATCAACTAAGCAAAATCTTCCAGACGCTGCAGAAGATGCAAAATCAACGTGAGATGGGACCAGTGCGGGTGGAGCCCTGGCCTCAGCCCTTGCTTCTCTCCCGGGAGGGTCTGTCTGATCTCGGGTATCTGCCGCCTTCCCTCAGAGAGTCGACATCTAAGTGAATGAGAAGACACTTGAGCCCGGGCTGCAGCCTGAAGGACAGGGCGGTCCCTCCCACCACAGATGACACACAGGGGCGCCAGCCTGGTCTGAACCCGTCCATCGGGCCCACATAAGGAAAACTGTGTGGTGGTGAATGAGTGCTGTGAAGTTGCTTGTGTGCAGGTGTGTGTGTGTGTGTGTGTGTGTGTGTGTGTATGTGGGGAGTAAACATTTCACGGAGGGTGGGTATTTCAGTGTGCTGCACCAGAAGGTGTATGGGGTGAATGTTGAGTGCAGGAGTCACAGACGGTGTAGTGTGCAAAACTGTGTCACTGTCCATGTGACACCTGGGTGTGCTGCAGTGTGTTTTGTCACACACGTCACGGGAGGGGGCTGTGGCAGCAGGGACCACAGAGGTGGCGTGTGAGTGTGGTAATGGTGACGCGTGTTACCCATGCAGGTTTCACTGTCAGTGTGAATGTGCACGAAGGTTTCACAGTATGGTGTGTGTGCAAGCCTGTTATGGCGAAGGTGTGCAGAGCACACCACGGGAATGTATCCTTGTGGGTGTGGGTGTTGTGGTGTATGCCCCATCACTCCCTGTGCCCACGTGAACAATTGTGTCAGCGTGCCTGATCATGTCGCCGACCGTGTTCAGAGCATGTGCACACGTGTGCCTGTCTTATTCTGCACTCCCATTTTGTGATTCATGAAGATAAAAGCCAAGAGGAAACCATGTATGTGGCTTTCAGATCGATTACTGTGGTGACTGAGGGCCTTTGGGGAGGGTCTGCAGGTGTTGGACTTGGTGGGTGAGGAAAGCCACACAGTGAAGGGGGGACGATATACCAGGAACGCCGGGGACACGAGGGTGTGTGAGAACCGTGTCCGGAGTGGGTCCCAGGGAGTAACTGAGTCCCTGTGCCCTTGGGTTTGTGCCCATGAGGGTCTGTGGCCTGAGATGTATACGTGGGTGCATGTGTCCCCGAAACAGAGACGCGTGCCCATCGTCAAACACGTGCCCCGAGTACGTGACCATCCATGCTTACTGTCCTGAGCGAGGGCCCAGGTCACTGCAGTCGTGGGTCGCGCTCCCGGGCACACGCGCCCCGGAGCGGCGGGTCTTGGAATCACCGCGCGCGGGCCCCGCCCCCAAGGCTGCCCTCAGCAGCGCCTGCGCAAGTAGGGCCTTTTACGACGGCATCGTAAAGCAGCTCGACGGCGCTGTGGGCCGCAGTTCCTGGTGAGACCTTGCCCGCCCGCGCCCCCCTGCCTGCCTAGGGCCTCGTCTGCTCCCAACTTCTCTCCGCGGGCCTGTGGGTCCTGGGCGAGGGTCGCGGGGGCGGACCGGCCTCTCTGGCCCATCCAGGGGGACCGAAAGGAGCGCGTGTAGTCCTTCTCGGCCCCTCTGCCCGCTCTACTCTCGGGGTCTCGGGGCCCCGGCCTTTCCGCGGTTCGGCTCACAACTCCCCATCGCAGCCCAATAGAGGACTCTCAGCACAACGCCTTCCGTCTCGCGCCCCGGGCCCTCCCCGTGTAGGCGGCTACTCACTCGGGCGGGGGCGTCCTGGAGCCTCTGATACTCCACCGGTCTTCCCATCTCCGACGCTGGCCCCGGCTTCTGGCCCCGTCCTGTCTGGTGGGGGATGGGTTCTCATTTTCCCCTCCGGACCCCACCCCAGGCGGTGGCTTCACACCTGAGTGGTGAGGGTGGAGGGGAAGAGAGGATGTCTCAGCACCCTGGGGATTCACCCCATTCGCTGCCACTCCCACCGCAGAGCCACAGTATGGAGGTATTAGGCCCCCCTTGGGGTTTTCTCCTACAGCCCCCTTCCGTGCTGGGATGGAGGATCACAGCGTCCCCTGCTGGGTCCCTTTAACCCCAGGCCTCCTGTCCAGACACCTTTCTGGAGAGCACCAGGGTAGGGGTCTCCTAACGCCTTCTTCCCCTATCCCCGCCCAGTCTTTCTTACAAATTCAGGTCCATCCTTTGTCCCCAAGGAGGCGCACTAAGTACATTACAAGTTGGCGCTGCCCTGCACGGGTTTGGAAGGGTTCCCAGTGTCCCTTCCTGGTTTGTCCTGTGTATCTCTTCGGTTTCCCAAGCTTCCAGTCCTGGCCGTTGGTCTCAACAATCAGTCCCTAATCCCACCTTTAGTGTCTCTGGTTTGCCCGGGGGGGGGGGGGAGAGTCAGGGACTTTAGCTTCACACTCTGGAAGTCAGAGCGAGAGCCCAGGCCAGAGCTCTCTCACAGTCCCCATCCTTCCTTATCACCTACAGACCTAAGTTTGATGCGCTCCCACCCGCACCTCGAACTAGTTTCCTGGTTGGTGTCCAGGTTGCTTTTCATGTGGGGGGTGGGGAGGGGGGGGTCACCTTGGGTTTGGGGTTTCTTGCGCCCCCTTGTGGTCCCACTCCTCTCTCTTCCCACCTTACCCCTAAGCCTCTCCTTACTCTCTGTCCTTTGCTGGCTGGGCGTCATGGAGGTGAGATTTATGCATAGGTGAATGCCCTTTTCCTTCCACTCGTCTCTTCCCATATGGGAAATTGGCGATAGAGCAGATGGAGTGCGCTGAAGGTCCCAGGGTTCTTTCTCCATCCCCTAACACTGGCATTGACTGGTTTCCCCACAGGCAGGGCGGCGGCATGGAGGCGCGCTTTACGCGCGGGAAGTCGGCACTGCTGGAGCGTGCGCTGGCACGGCCGCGCACCGAGGTGAGCCTGAGTGCCTTCGCGCTGCTCTTCTCGGAACTGGTGCAGCACTGTCAGAGCCGTGTCTTTTCTGTGGCCGAGCTGCAGGCGCGCCTGGCCGCGCTGGGCCGCCAGGTGGGTGCGCGTGTTCTAGATGCGCTGGTGGCTCGCGAAAAGGGTGCCCGGCGCGAGACCAAGGTGCTGGGCGCCCTGCTCTTTGTCAAGGGCGCGGTGTGGAAGGCACTTTTCGGCAAGGAAGCCGACAAGCTGGAGCAGGCCAATGATGACGCCCGCACCTTCTACATCATCGAGCGGGAACCGCTCATCAACACCTACATCTCGGTGCCCAAGGAAAACAGCACGCTCAACTGTGCTAGCTTTACCGCCGGCATTGTGGAGGCGGTGCTCACACACAGCGGCTTCCCCGCCAAGGTCACAGCACACTGGCACAAGGGCACCACGCTCATGATCAAGTTCGAGGAGGCCGTCATCAGCCGAGACCGGGCCCTTGAGGGCCGCTGACCCCATGGGAGATAAAGGATGAGACAGCACCCTTCCTGAGTGTCCGAGTGTGTTTTGCGTCTTGTGTGGGGCCCTCAGAGACCCGCACCACAGGACCTGGCTCCCCGCCCAACTGGTGAGGGAGGCTGGAGTCCAGGCTGTTTGTACCAGGGCAGGGCGGGCTTGGACCCAGCTTGGGTTCTCAGGTTGGGGTGGGGGAGTCCAGAGATTGGTTGGGAGACAGACCAGGCAGAAGGAGATGCTGGAATTGGGAGATGCTGGTGGTTTCTGGAATCACAATTGGAGGCTAACTATAGGATGAGGGGGCAGAGAGGAACCAGGCTAAGAGAGACTCCTTTAGACCAGGGGCCAGCACACTTTTTCTGCAAAGGACTCAGTGGTGAACAGTTCGTGCCCAGTAGTTGGTCAAGGATTGGGTGTGGCTGTGTCCCTAGAAAATAGGCTGATCGCTGCTTAAGACTTGCTACTCAGAGAGTTGTCCAGGGGCCAGCAGTGTCCTGGGGGTTTGTGGGTGATGCAGACTCTAGGCCCACCCCAGACCTCTCCACTCAGAATCTGCATTTTAACAAGTGTGAGAAGCAGTGTGCAAGGGCACCGGATGTTAAAGCTCGAGTGACTAGGCGCCACCACCCACCCCTCTTGAGTTTCAGATGCTGCAGATCTGGGTGGGCTGGCGGATTTGCCTGTCTGACGAGTTCCCAGGAACTGCTGGGGCACTGGGGGCTGCCCTGTGAAACTGGCCTGAGACACCCGGCTCTTGAGGGAAGTGGGTGGGCTTACTTTAGAACTGTCTGGATGCTTAAAATAGTTTGAAGTTAATTTCTAAGCACATGATTAGTGCACAGGCATGTCCTTTGTTTAAAAAATTCTACACCTCAGGTGACCCTTTTCCTTTTGCCCGCTACCCTGGGACCTTGAGCATGCCTACCCCCCAGGTAAATCCCGCCACTCCTGGGGAGACCTGTCTAGGTCTTCCCTGTCCCCTTACCTCCACAGGAACTGAGCAAGGCTGCCTTGCAGAGCGCCTCACTCCCTGCAGAGGCTCTAAGGGTGGCATGGGGCAGCTGTGGGGCAGCTCTTCGATGTGCTGATTCAGTGCTCACTGCGCAGGGAGGCACAGGGGCCGCCAGGGGCCCCGGCGTGGTTGGTCTGTCTCAGTCACCCCAGCAAGAGGCAAGGAGGCAGCAGGCTTTGTGAAGAAGGCAGAGTATCTGCAGGACGGATATGATGACTGGGCACTCAGTGCGTGTAGCACGAAGGTGATCAGAAAAATAACTTCGCTTCCGGGGAGCTGGGGAAGGGGTGGTCAGGGTGGCAACCAGGAGTCCAACAGAGACTCAGGGTCTGGGGGTCAGACAGATGGAAGCCACAGACCCAGAGAAGGGAGAGCCCGAGTGTGGAGGGAACTGCAGGGGTCGTCTTGGGGTTTAGCAACCTGAAGTTCTCAGAGGCCCTGGTGGGAGCGGCTCCCAGAGCCTGCTGGGAGTTGGGGGCCAGATTTTAGGGGAGGTGGGAGGCAAGGATGACACAACCACATCTGTCTGTCCCGAGGCTCGGCAGTGCAGGGTTCGAGAGAGAAACTGGGGTTGGGGAGGAGGTGGTGGGTGGGGGAGGGCCCAGGGTCTGTTTATCCCTGCTGAGGATAAGGAGGGTCATGTGGAGAAGGGAGCAGGCTTGGGATGAGCTGTGAGATGTGGGGCGGGGCACCCATTTGGGGCAGGGGCAGACGGGGAGAGAGAACAGGCAGCTGTGGTTCCCACCTTGGTGGCTGGGAGCTGGAGGCCTCCAGGCAGCGGAAATGGCTGAGGAGGAGGACCTGGCCCCAGCCCTTTGGAGACGGGCAGGTAGCCCTTTACTTGAACAGGGCTCAGAGCGGGTTCCCAAAGAAGATGTAATTCACCCATGGTCATGCATTAGTTTGACATATTTATTGCCTACCACGCCAGGTATTGGGGACACAGCTGAGAGCAAGACAAAGGCCCCTGCCCTGGAGCCGCATTCTAGCCAGCAGATATGGGCAGCGACAGATCTGTTAATTCAGCATCTTGGGCTGTGGCGAGAGTGTACAAGGGGGCAGAATGTCAGACTTGGGGTGTCATCTTAAGTGAGGGGTGCTCAGGACAGGTCTTGCTGAGGAGTGGGGGGGCCACACATGTAGAGGCCCTGAGGCTGGCATGAGTGGACCAGTTCCAGGAGCAGTGGGGGGCTGTGAGGAGGCGGGGCTGTGGGCAGCTGTTCTGTAAGGGCAGAGGACGCCTCTGAAAGGTTTGGAGCAGTGGAGAGTGAGCCCACACCAGCTCAGGGGAGGAGGCGACTCTGGGCGCCTGGGGTTCTGGCCCAGGTTTCAGTCTGAGGGTCTAGCTGTTTTCCTGCCTTGTCCCGAGCCCCAGGTCTCCCAGGTGCCACTACAATGTGCCACCCAGCCCCGGGGCCATGGCTGGCCCTTGGACCCCCGTGTCCCAGGCGGTCCAGTGTGGGCATCTGCGCCTGGACTCTTCCTACCCCTCGAGGGGCCCTGAGAATCGTGTGCCCATGTCTGGCTCTCCCCTGGGCCAGGAGCTGGGGGTGGGACAGGCAGGCGAGGAGTTCAGTGAGGGGTGTCGGAGGCCCTGGCCCACCTCCCTCCTGCTTTGGCACCAGGCTGACCCTGGCCCAGCCTGGGCCTGGCATTGCCTCTACCCCTGAGGGCCGGTGGGGCTGGAGCCTGGACCCCCGCTGCCAGGTGACTGGGCTACATGTGCATCGGTCCCTTCAGCCAGCTAGCACTTCATGAGCACCTTCTGTGTCCTGGGCTGTGTGTTGGCTCAGGCCCTTTTCCTGGTGGCCTGAGTGTGGATCCAGGTTTAGGGCAGGCACTGCTTCACCCTGTGGTATTGCCAGGGCACCAGGGGTACCCAGAGGCCTCACCCCGCCCTGCCTAGGGCATGCTTCTTGTAACACAGCAGGGGGAAGGGGTGGGCGGGTCCAAATTCCACCTCAGCTGTTCCTGGTGCGCGGAGGTGGCCTCAGGCACCAGGCACTGGAGCTCCCAGCTCCCACCTTCCACACCTGGAGGCCGCAGCTAGTGGGGCCCCTCAGGAGGGCATGCGCGATGCAGGCTGGGCCCAGTGGAGCTGTGGTGCCAGGGCAGGGAATGGCTACATCTAGGGAGGACAAGGGCAGGCTCTACTCCTGACCTCTTTGGGAGCGGGCGAGGTGAGGTGGGGTGATGGGGGAAGCACACAGGGGCCTTCGCTGCCCCCTGCAAAGCTGGGCTGCCTGGCCCATTGTCTCTAGTGGGACCTCCCAGCCTCCAGGCTGGTGGCAGGGTTCCTGAGGGGGGAGCTCTGAACACCCGAAAACAGGGAGGTGGTGACAGCCATTTGGGCTGAGGGGCAAGGAACAGGCCCTTTGGGGAGTTGGCAGGAACCCGGGGTGGGTCAGCTGCCCTCCTTTGCACAGGGACTTCAGGCAGAAAATGTCACTGGGACCCTTGGTCCACGAAAGAGGCCCCCGGCCTCAGCTAGGGCCGCAGCGCCCCGCTCCAGGCCTGGCCGTTCCCGTATTTGAGGTGGGGGGTCATGAAGAGGAGTGCAGCTGGAGAGCAGGCAGGGGGCTGTCTGGGCCCTCGTCTGGGGGGCCAAGCAGGAGGCAGGCAGTCAGCAGGTGGCCAGCTGCTCACACATCCAGCCCTCGAGATGGCTGTTGCAGAAGGCGTCGTTCCACTGCCCGAGGCCCAGCATCATCACGCAGTCCTCGCCCTCGCCCCCATTGTTGGGCTCCCCCGGCCGCCAGTTGCTGGAGTGGAAGGCTTTGCGTCAGGGTGGGTGGGGGTGGGGGGAGGGGCTCCCTGCCTAAACACACCCCCCTGAGCTTCCGTCCTCCTCACCCCCTCTCCACCGCCCCCTGCCTTCCTCCACCCCAGCCTAGGCCTCCCTCTAAACCCTGACCATATCCATCCCACTGTGACAGAAGCTCCCCCAGCTCTGGGCCTGGGACACACTCCCCCACCTACCCTGCCCTCATCTCAAAGCAGCCCCTCCTCTGAGCCTGGACCTGGGGCCATCTGCTCAACATCCCCCCACGCTGCCACTCACCTATAGTCCAGGGGGCTCCCGTCCATCCAGACAAATTCCCCCTCTATGTTTAGATCCCGAAGGCCGATCCAGGAGCCCTTCTCGTTGACATATTTGGCCAGGAAGTCCTGAGGAACAGGACAGGGCTGGAGGGCTGGGGTGTGCTTGGGTCCCTCTGCCATCCAAGAGGCCGTGTTGGGGCCCCACCTCCCCCAGCCACCGTGCTGGCCGCACCCTCTGCAGAGTCCAGGCCCACCTGCTCCTCCTGGCTGTGGATGCTGACGAGCCGCCCATGGAGATTGCTGCAGGCGAACCGCGCCTGGATCCACCTCTTGGCACCCTCCCCAAAGTAGTAGCACTTCTGCTGGAAACTGACCCAGTCCTCAGGGCACGTGTTACACATGGAGCCTGGGGTGGAGGAGAGGCTCAGGGGGACAGCTGTGGCGGACACCAGGGTGGGCGCCGTGGCTGGTGCTGTGGTGGGTGCAGTGGTGGGTGCAGTGGTGGACATCGTGGTGGGCACCAAGGGTACAGTGAGCAGAGTGGGTGGCAGCGTCTTTCCTGGAGTCACTTTTGGGGTCCGGGCTGAAAGCAGACCCACCAGAGAGCCTAACACAGAGTCTCACAGGTCCTTCCTCCCTGGAGCTCTGGTGCTGCTGTGTGGGAGTGGCCCCACCAGGGACCTCCGCAGCTGCCAGCACCTCAAAGAGCCTCTGCTGCCTGCGGAATGGCAGCCACGACATAGCGCATGAACACCTCTCGGCCACCAGCATGTCGGCTGCCAGTGACACCACTGTGAGCACACCTGTGGCAGCAGCACCTCAGTCCCCTGCACCAGCGCCAGGCCCCCGGCGTGATGGGCAGCAGCACCTCCATCGCCCACGTCCTCCCCACAAATGTGTCTACAGGCGGATATGCCGGATCGCCAACACCAGTACCACAAAGCCTCCGTCATCAACAGCATCTCAACTGCCAATGCCATGGCCCCAAACTCCACCACATCCAGCAGCACCTTTACCGCCAGCATCATCGTTACTGGCACTGGCCAGCAGCACCTACCCAGCACGGGAGCCACACTGGCCATGCCATCAGCGCCAGGCGAAGCAGTGCTGAGCCAGCACTGTCTCCGCCCCCCCCCCCACTGGGCCTGACCGGGCCCCCACACTAGCACACGCCCACCTTCTGGGGTATTGAGTTGGCTTTCTTCTCATTGGCCAGGAGAGGCTATGAACAGTGAGGAGGGGGCTGGCTGGGAGGGTCCCCGTGACCTTGACCCAGGGCCGCGTTGGTCTCTCTCCCCTTGCTCCCCCCGCCCCCAGCAAGGGAAACTCTCAGGCACTGTCGCTGCCACTAGCACTCTTAGTCACTCCTAAATTAAAGTAGGTTTTCTTAGGGTGTCGTTCTAGAGGAACCGTGGGGACCTGGGGTCCACAGAAGTCCGTGCAGCTGTGGGAGGAGCCGAGCCGAGGGTGCTGCTCGCTCACGGAACTGCGGCCAGGGCGCAGCCCAGTGCAGGTGCCGGGGAAACAGAAAGAGACCGTCCCTGGTCCCGTCCAGGGAAACTCGAGACGGGGCCGAGGGCAGGGCTGTGTGTCACGGGTCACCGAGAGACGGCCCTGCAGTTGGGCTTCCACCCGAGGTGGCCCTTCCAAGGTCGCTGGTTCAGACCCCGCCCCCAACTCCCAGGGAGCACGGGGTCTCCGCTGGAATTCCCAGGGCCACGCCAGGTCCCCGCCGCGCTCCTTCACCAGGCACAGATCCTTCCTCTTTTCTCGCCTAGTTGGGCGGCCGGGGCTTCCCAGAGGTGGAAGGCCAGAAATGCAGGGGACGGGGTGGGGTGGGGGGGAGTGGGGCAGAGACACAGTGACCGCACGTCTGCCCTCTGTGCTGGCCTGCTGGGGCCACCCTCGTGAGCCTCGTGCCCGCCAGTATTGCCCCGGCACGGCCACCTGTGAGGAAGAGGCCGTGGTGCCCCCACACCCATCACTGCCGAGGGACCCCCAGCCCTCTGGAGGCGTCAGGCGTCTGCCCAGCCGTGGCTGGCGGAGGACCATCAGCACAGACCCCAGAGGTGGTGAACCTGCTTTTACCCGGAGCGGACATGTGGGACCCCCACCCCCAGGGCAACGGAGGGGAGCAGCCGGACTCGTAAAGGGCTTTCTCGGGGGCCCCGTGTGGGCCCTGCCACGCACACGCCCTGTGAATGAAACTGGAGCACGCGCCGTGTCGTCGCACGTGTGCAGCAGTGCGCCTGAAGGCACAGACGCCCACGCTCACCGTTGGACATGCGAAGCTCCACCCACAGCTTGGACACCTCCTCCTGGAGCTTTTCCAGTGAAGTCAAGGTTGCGCGTCTCTCGTTCAAGCCTGAGAGGCCGCATGGGGGCAGTGGTCACAGACAAACGCGGGGGGGCTTCCTGGCCACAACCAGCCTGCAGACCCTCCCAAGCCTCACCCTGGGACTTGAGGTTGGTCAGATCCTCTCGGAGTCCATCCAGGTCCCGCGACAGCTCAGAGTCTGGTGGATGCAGCAGGGAGGGAGTCAGGGGTGACGCTGGTGGCTCTCGGACCCCTCCCCCCACCCCCGTCTCTCACCCTGGTCTTTCATTCTCCTCTGTTCTGCTTGGATTTCCTCCACGGTGTGCAGTGCCTGGGCCTCTAGTTGCAGAGGAGGGCTCAGTGGTAAGCAAGTCTGTCAGGGGCACCTCCCTCCCCCCAGTGCCCCCTCAGCTCTGAGCGAGGCACTGGAGGGCCACCTGCTCATTTTGCAAGTCACAGGTGGTGTGGACACTGTGCCCACATGTCACCCAAATTTCCTTCCTCTTTTTCTCCCAGACCCCCAGCAGAAGTCACTCACCCTGGGACCTCTGGGCCATCTGGTCATCCTTGTGTCTTTCCAAGCCCTTGGAGACCTGAGAGACTGGGGGAAGGAGGCAGGTCCTGAGTCCACCGCCCTTTCCACAGTGCCAGGTGCTGGGAGCCCCTCCCAAGGTCACTACGGCTACGGCTCTGTTTCTGATCTCAAGGGCAGAGGCCCTTGGGAAGGCACAGGCAATACAATGAGTTTGTGTGCCCCTGTCCCTTCCGGCATTCAACATGGACACAGGGGCATTCCCTCAGAGCTGGCTGGCTGCCAGGTGCCTGCTCCGGGCTGCACGGTCTCGCCTTGCTCCCACTGCAGACCTCTGAAACAACGCCCACCGTACAGGCAACTCGTCTGGGGTGCGGAGCCCCTCCCTCACCCTCCATTGGGCGCTTCTCAGAGCCTCTCCGCCAAGAGTCACTGGGTTACCCCCGCACTGCGTGGGGGAGGGGCTCAGGCTGACCCTCAGTCTTTCTCCCGTATCTGACAGTGGTAGGACCAGAGCCTGGTGTCCTAGCCCCCCTCTCCCACCCGCCCCTCCATACTGTTCAGGGCAGCAGTGTCTTCCAGCTGTTTCAGATTCTGTACAGTGTCCCAGCCTGGGCAGGAGGAGAGGAGAGGAAGGGTTTCTCAGGTACCCCCACCCACCCACACCCCACCTGCCAGCTGAGGACGGAGCCCTCGGGTGTATCACATGGGGGTGCCCACAGGGTGGGAGATGGGGGTGCTGAGCCGGAGAGGAGGCTCTTGAGAGTGGAGGAAGAGACATGAGAAGGGGCCAGCATGGCCAAGGTGGGCAGCATCGGGCTCCAATGGGCGTGTTGGGCCCCCAGGACCTCAGAGTGGGGGTCTGGGAAGGAACAGGAGAGGTGGGCCGCACGGGGCTTGGGGGTGTCCTCACGCCACAGGAGAAGCAGAGTCAGCAGCCCGGCCCACATCGAGGCCATCACCAGCACCAGCAGCGCAGTCAGCACCCTCTGCCGGCAGCACCGCCGTCGGTGCAGATTCTGGACGTCTGCCAGGGGCAGGGAGCAATGAGCAGCACACAGGAGGGCAGGGCCCCCGCTCTGACCCTGCCCCGCCACTCGGGACCCCACAGGCCTGGGAGCCCACACTGAAGTCGAGGGTCTCAGTGGACCCCCAACCTCCTCTGTAGCCCTTCCCCTCACTCCATCTTCCATGTGCACTTCTGCATCTGTGTGTTTCCGAGTCTGTCCTGCTGTCCATCCAGCCTGAAGTCTGCTGTGCCTTCTGCCCAAACTGCAGCTGACGGCGAGCCTGACTTGGGGCCAGGCCACTGTCCAGAGAGACGTGCCCAGGGCCCGGAGCTGAGACCCTGATTCCCTGAGCCCCTCCTGACATGCTGACCCCAACCCTGCGCTCTCCTGTGGCTCTCCTCCCTTTTATAGGTCCCGCTTCCCTCATCACTCACCTGCGGGGAGCTGGGCCTCCTTCCTCTCTGACCCCAGCCCTTACCTTGATGCCTGTCTCCCCGCCCCCACCCCTGGGACCCTTCCCTAAACACAGGATATAGGGTCTCAGTTCTTCCCCAAATCTGAGCTCTTTCCCAGCTCTTTCCCCAACATCAGACCCCCCAGGCCTCACCCCAGGTCTTGCCCCCCCAAACTCTACCTTGACACTCCACTGCAGGTCCAGGCCCCCGCCCCTCATCCTGGCTGTGGGGACTCATCCTGCAGAACCTCTCTTGCTCTGGGTCTCCCTCCACTTGGTCCCTGGGCCCCCAGGGACTGCTTTGTTCTGGTTTCCAGGGTGTGAGTCAGAGAGGGAAGTGCCCGGGGCTTCCCTTTCTGCATGGCTCTAGGCCAGGAAGGCCACTGGGGCTCACCTGCCCCCCGGAGTGTACCTTTCCTAGACCCCCACTCTTCCTCCCAGAGGGGACCCTGCAGCCCCTCTTCTCTCCTGGGGGGAGCAGGAGGTCAGGGTCAGCTCCAGAGAGTCCTCTCACCTGAATAGAAGTTTTCTTCCATGGCAGCCCTGATTGGATCCTCTCAGGGATGGGGTGCTCACCACCTGTCCAGGCGGTCCCCAGGGCGGCACTGTCACAGCTCCGGCTGAGCTCTGCGTCTCGCGAGCAGGAGGGCCAGATCTCAGCGCCTGAAGGTTGAGAGGCACAGCAACCACTGGCTGGTTGTGCTTGGCTCTCAGACGAGAGCCCTGTACTGCACAGTGAACCAGGAGATGTGGCTGGTGTGCAGGGTCACAGGCTGACACCAGGGCTGAGTGCCCGAGAGCCCATCCCATGCAAGGGACACGGCAGGGGCTCAATACATGTGTACCCATGGAATCTGGGCAAGTGGTTGAACCTCAAAACCAACTTCCTCATTTATAAAATGATGACATGAAGCCCTGGCTGGGTAGCTTAGTTGGTTAGAGCGCTGTCCAGTATGCCAAGGTTGTGGGTTCGATCCCTGGTCAGAGCACATATGAAAAGCAACCAGTGAGTGCATAGATAAGTGGAACAACAAATTGATGTCTCTCTCTCTCTTTAAAAAAAAATGAAAGAAAAGGATGTTATTAGTAACACCAATACTGTAGGGCGGTGGTCAGCTCTACGTGAATGGCCAATGTGCTTTGAACAAGGCCTGGCACATAGTAAGCCCCAAACACCCACAGCTCTTGTTAGTCTTGCTGCCTGGGGAGCCTGGGCCCGGAGTTCGACCTTCTGGAGCCTTGGTTTTCCCAGCACTAAAATGGGGGCAGAGAGAGGCCCTGGCTTCTGAGGGGCTAGGTCAGCCGAGGCGTTACTCTGCGTGAGGCTGTCGGCACAGTGCGGGGCGCAGAGGGTCTTCGGAGACTGGCCCTTTCCCAGGCATCTGCTCCGTGCCAGGTCCTGCTGGGAAGTGCAGAGACCCTGTCACCAGCCTCAGCCACCTCTTCTGCCAGCCTTTAAAGTCGCTTGACTCTGAAGCACTAAGAATGTGCTGAAGAGCATGGACTTCGGGTTGGATGAGCCTGGGGTCACGGGCTGCCCCCCTTGCTGTGTGACTATAGGCACGTGGCTTCCCTTCTCTGAGCCTCCGGCAAGTGGAGATGTGGGGCGGCCCAGCTCTGATCACCAGCAGCTCAAACCCGGTGCCTGGCCATCCCGAAGAGGCCAGAAGTGCCACTGTCCTATGGCTGGGTCTGCCCGAGCCCACGCTGGCCAGACCTCGGGCTGGGCCCCTCTGGGCACTGGGGCGGCAGTGCCGACTCCACTGGAGGGGTTCGCTGGGGTGTGGGAGGCGCCGCTAGGCAGTCAGCACTCAGCAGGCCCGCTGGGGTGCCGGGCGACCCAGGGCCCTGGGACAGTGAGGAGTTTGCCCACTTCCCAGGGCTCGAACCAGGACCTGTGTGTGACCTTGGAGCTCTTCTGCTTGGCCCCGGGCACATGGCCTCCTGGTAGGTGTTTGCTGGCGCACGTCAGGGCAGGGCAGTGAGGCCCAGAACCAGGCCGACCTTCTAACACAAGAGCTCCTGCCTCTGCTGCGGCCTCCTGTGGCCCCCAGGGCCCTGCGCTGGCAGCCTGCCGTGCCTGCAGCAAACGCATCTTTCTGCCTGGCTGCCACCCTGCCCGGCCAGGTCCCCACACACCTGGAGAGGGTGTCCGTGACACTCGCTGCCCACCACCCCCGTCCGCTTCTCATGCAGACCTTCTCCTTCCTGGTCAGCCCTTGGCCTTGGCCCCAGCTCCTTCTCCCAGCAAACCGATGCCCACTTCCCACCACCAGTCCCGGCTCTCGCGTGCCCGCGGGGCCGCACTCCCACACTCACCCAGGCGCACACTCACGGCACTGCCACACAGACACACCTGTGCACGGGGCAGGCACCACACATTCACACTCACTCACGTGAGCTCCGTGTGTGCCACTGTCCTGGCCGCATAGGCCGACCCGAGGCGCCCCTTCTGTGCTGAAGGCAGAGCCAGCACGGGACTCGCCCCAGGAAAGCGTGTTCACGCATGGCCTCATCTCGAGCACCCACAGCCCGGTGAAGTCCGAGCTATTATTGTCTTCATGTCTCAGGGGAGCACACAGGTTCTGAGATGCCAGCCCACGGGGCCACATGGCTGAAGGGGGTCAGCGGTAGGGTTGGGACTTGAACCCAGTGGATGGGCACGAAGAGGGGAGAGGGAGGAGGAAGCAAGACGGGGGAGACGACCGGACAGAACTGTGCTCTGGTGCTGGCGACTGTGCTGTGCATTTTAATTTAGTAGCAAGGTGTGCTGGGTACACGTCTTAGCATCTCAGATGCAGTAGCACATGTAATATTCACCCTCACCCTGTGTGGTGGATGCTTCTGTCATCCATGATGCCTTAGGGATGAAGGGTGTGAGGCACAGAGAAGTAAAGTAACTTGACCAGGGTCACACAGTTCCTAAGTGGCAGAGGCAGGACTTGAACTCAGGCCATAAGAGTCCTAGCTCCAGCCCTAACCATCAATCTACCTAGCCTTGTATTGACAGGTGGCACTTGGCTCACCTGCTCTTTCTCCCTGCACCATGTTCCCCGGTCCTTAATCCCACCCCACCCTTGGTTAGGGGCTGCTCAGGGCCAGCCCCTCTACTCTGGAATGAGCCAACTCCTCACCCCAGGTTGGACACCCACCTGTGCCCATGTCCCAACCAGAACCGAGCCAGGCCACCCACCAACTGGGAGGAGCTGGGCTGGACTGTCCCCAGGCGCGTGCACTCCAGGACAGTAGGGACAGTGCAGCCTTGTCTGTCACATTGCATGGTGTCCCCTGTGTGGGGTGTGGGGCCCTGTGTGCAAGTGTGCTGAATGAACGGTGCTGGGGGGCTGGGGCTGCTGGTGCTGTCCCCTAGGTGTCCCTCTCAGCCTCAGTCTGGGCCCATTGTAAGCCCAGTGCATGGTTTGTCGGATAAGAGAGAACGGCTGTTTCCAGAGGAAACAGAATAATCAGCTGGGCATTGGAGGGGTGACCGGGGGATGCTGGGTGGAACCAGGACAGTGCTGGGCTGGGGAAACCTGGGGAGCTATTGCGGGGCCCGGAAGGAGGGGGAACTGAGGAAGACAGTCTTGGATGGCCTGACGGGGCCAGGACTGAGCCCAGAGCAGCAGCTACAGGACAGCCAAGCTGACGGCATGAAAAAGAGACCAGCCTCGGTCAGGAGTGGGGGGTGGGGCTGAGCATTAGGGAGACGCAGGTGAAAATGCTGCTCCTCCGCCCAGCGTCTGCGAGGACAGTGGGGCTGCCCTGGCGACAAGGGCATGGAAAACAGGGGGAGAAAGTGTGGAGCAAGTCCTGTGGGTGGAGCAGGCGGGCTGGGCGGGGGCACAGTGCCCCCCCTCCCGCCTCTCTCAGCCCAGGGGCTCCAGGGTGGGCCCCTCTGACTCCCCACTCAACCACTCAGGGCGCCCGCCTGCGTTCCCTGCAGACAAAAGGATGCTTTGGGGGTGAGCTCTCAACTGGGGTTCCTGTCACCAGACCGCACCCCCCCGTCCCCTCTACAGTACCAGCCCGGATCCCTCACCCACTTTGAGGGGGAAAAACAGGAAGCTGGTGGGTGGGGGGCCCAGGCCTGAGGGTGTCAGTTCTTCTTTTGGGTCCAGGATCCTCGAGCCCTGGTCTGTGCCTCTCTCCTCACCAGCCTCAGCCTAGCACAGCAGGAGCGAGTCCCAGGTCCTGCCCTGAGCACCCGTGGTCCCCAGACAGGATCCCTGCACGGCCTCCACCCAGACTGCACGCAGCCACAGTGCGCCCGCAGCCCCGCACTCACTCAGAACCTCAGCACCTGGGACAGGGCCGCCACCACTATAGTTGGAGGAAGGAGCTTCACTGCCTGACTCCAACCCCATCCTGCTGCTGCCCTGGGCTCACCCTGCCTGCTTCATCTGCCCTGGCATTACCAGGAGAGAAGGGGCTGTGTGAGGCAGTAGGTGCGTCAAATCCAGGAGGCCTTCCAGGGGGAGGTGTCTCTGCAGCTGGGTTTCTCTTTCTCTGCACTGTTGACACTGGGGCTGGCTGAGTCCTCCTGAAGGCCCTCCTGTGCCTTGTGTGTCTCTTGCAGCTTCCCTGGGCTCTGCTCGCCAGTGACCAGTAGCACCCCGTCCTCCCTTCCACCCAGTAGTGACAGACAAATGTCTGCAGATGTGGCCAGACGCCCCCTGAGGAGCAGACCCCCTCAGTTGGGAAGCACTACTTGGAAGCTTGCTCTGAAGACGAGGAGCAAGTGCTGCTTCAGGCTGCACCTGTCACCGCCTCTCTGTGCCCTCCTGCCCCTCCACCAGCTGTGGGCAGATCACCTCTTTGCTCTTCCACTCCCTCAACCTGCCACTGGCCACCTACTGTGTGCCTGGCTCTGGGGAGGAGCCAAAGTCCCTGCTCTCAGAGGGAGGAAGACAGAACTTCATCTTCATTGTAGTGAAATATGCGTAAGGCAGAACCACCATTTTAACCGTCTCCAGCCCGTGCTCACCTTCCCAGGTGGAAACTCTGCCCCTCAAACACTACCCCCGCCCACTCCCGCAGCCCCTGTCCTCTCCTCTCTGTCTCTGAGGGTCTGACTCCTCCAGGGACCTGCTGCGAGCAGACTCCCACCAGGTGTGTCCTGTGGTGGCCGGGTTGTTCCACACAGCACAGCGTCCTCAGGTCCATCCAGGCTGTAGCACAGGAGCCAAGCTGAAGCCCAGACACCCACAGGACGAGGGTGGGTGGTGGAGGGAGGACAGGGCGTGCCCTGGGGAAGAGCTGGTTTACACTGGAGGACTGAGAAACCTGGGCGGGGACACCTCTGAGCAGGCCACTGCGGCACAAAGTGCATTTTCACCTGAGCCACTCCCTGCAGCCAGAGGTCCTGGCCTGGGCTTTGCAACCTCACAGTCACCAGCTGCCACCCGGCCCCTCCAGCCAGGGGAGGGCCACTCTGCCTTCCCCCAGAGGCTGCAGGTCCCGGAGGGGCCAGTGGCCTGTCAGCCTCCCCCAGCCTTGCCCCTGCGGCTTCAGCAGTCCCTACCCTTCTCGGGCCTCAGTTTTCCTCCCAGGGAAGGGCACTGGACTCCTGGCCCTGGCAGGCCTGGACATCTCACAGCCTCTTGCAGAGCCCTGGCTGTGCGGAACTGGGAACTCCAGAGACCGGGGGCGGCCCAGCCATAGTGACTCAGTTTGAAGTGTGAACACACAGAAACACAGACGAGACACACCAGCCATGCACTCCACAGAGACGTGAGCACAGACGTGTGCACGGGCGCACACTCGGGAGCAGTCCCGCCCAGGCTGGGTTTGTGTTTGTCTTGCTGGGGGTGGAGAGGGATTGGGATGCTCAGGATGGCGGGGCGGGGGGCACACAGCTGGGCTCCACCACAGCTTTCCTTCTGGGTGGCCCCTCGGGCCCACAGCCCACTCCCCCAGCTGCCAGGCCCCAGCACACCCACAGGGTCCTAGGGCTGAGCCGATGGCCCGGGAGTCCTGACAGTGTCCCAGGCCGGTCCTGGGGGTTTTGGGTACTTCTCCCCGAGGGCAACCGGGCTTCCCCCAGAGGATGAGACCTCCTGTGGGGGCCAGACTGGCAGTTGACTCTCGGCCTGCTGACATCCAGAATTCCTCAGGAATCCAGAGGCCCGGGACTCCAGGACCCCAGGCCCTTAGGGACCTAGGAAGCCAGGACCCACGTCCTGACAGTGAGGGACCCAAAGAGTCAGGACTCCAGTCTCGGGGACCAGGCTCCTGCCCCTTAGAGACGAGCGACCAGCACTGTGTGAGGTTTCCCTGCTCCATCCCAGTGTGCTGTCTGGCAGCTGGTATGTCAGGTGGGCCAGGAAGAAGGGTGCTGCCCCCTCCCTGCTGGACACACCTACTCACTGTCCCCATGGGGTGTAAGGGGAAGTTGCAGCGGCCCAGCCCCACCCCCTTCCCTGCAGAGACACTTTACTCTGTCCAGGCCTCAGTGTCCTCGGCTGCACAGGGGGGACAACCCTGGTTCCCCACACAGGCCACCCCAGCGGTCAGCCTCCCCCACCCTGTGGGGCGCAGAAAGTGCTTGGTGCCTGTGAGGCTGATTGGGCTCCTTTCCAGAACATGTGGCCGCCCAGGCTCTGGCCTCGGGAGCCCCCACCAAAGGCCAAGGCCCAGAGAGGGGGCCCCAGCTGCTTGCAGCCAGCAGGGCCCTGTGTGGCCCGCACCCCCACAGACACAGCTCCCCCTTTGCTACAGCCAGGGCCACAGGCTCTCCCGATTGTTAAGCCTTTTCTTGGTCCTTCCTCAGTCCTCAGGACCCTGCTTTCTGAGGGAAGACACCCCAGCTCAAGTAGCCCCTCAATCCCCAGCACCCCCTTTAATGGTCCTCGTGGCCCCTGCCCTGAGTGGGAATGTGCCTGGGACACCACCAAGTCGTGAGGTCATGGCTCAGGGCTGGGCACACAGTAGGTGCTGTCCAGGCACCTACCTGAAGCTGTGTGCTCTGACTGAGGTAAGAAATGACCAGAGACTTGGAGTCTTAAACAGCACAGGTTTATGCCTCCAGCTCCGGAGGTCGGAAGTCCACCACCCTCTCGCTGGGCTGACATCAGGGCAGACACGGGGCTGGTCCCTCTGGGAGGTCACCGGGGGCCCAGCCTCTGGAGGCACCACATCCCTGGGCAGGCGGCCCCCTCTCCCTCTGCACGGTACACAGCGCAGCCTCTCCCCGTCCTGGCCAACTCTGCCTCTGTTGTCGCGCCCCCTTCTTCTCCCAGGCGCAGGGCCCTGGTGACAACACTGCCCCCACCCCAGAGCCTTCCTTCACCCCACGTGCAAAGTTCCCTTAACCACACAGAGCCACACGTCCACAGGACCTGGGGTGTGGGTGGGGCATCTTTGGGGGCTGTTACTCAGCAGGCCCCAGGATCCTCGGTGGCGGGTCCTCCTGTCACTATTACTCCCTCCTGAAGGTGCAACAGCCCAGGCTCAGAGAGCCAAGGTCAGGGGCCCGGCTCACCCCGAGAGTCAGTGGCAAGCACCAGAGTGGACTCGGGGCTCTCTGCCAGCATCAGCCACATGCACCCCAGTGAGACATCAGTGAGGGGATCTGGGGACACAGGAGAAGCCAGGCTGAGGGTGGGGAGTTGGGCAGGCGGCAAAGAAGATGGGGAAGGGGCTGGCCAGGGCTGGAGGCCAGTGTGTCCATCTCACCCTGGGGGCTTCCCCAGACACCTCAGCCAACCTGGTAAGGGCCTGGGGATCCCAGGGGGTTTCCTGGGACTTGCAGTGGGGAGGGGGGAGCTTGGAAAGGACAGGCTACTCTGTCTCGAGGCCATTTCCTTGGAAAGGTGGGGCCAGCTTGTCCAGGAAACCCTGGCTGGCCTTCAAGGCCACCACTGACCTGCTGATTCAGCCACAGAAAGTGTGGTCATGTGGTCATTCAGGAGGTTGTCGGGGACACCCACTGGGGAAATGCAGAGGACAGCTTGAAAGGGCTTCTCCTGCCCGCACCCCCTGCCTCCCAGCGAGCATGCCCTCTGTCTCCAACGCAGACACTCCTTTCTCTACCACCTCACCCTCAGGCTGCGAGTTTTGGAGGGAATCTCTTTTCTAGAAAGTTCCACTCCCTACCTCTCCATGTGGGAACAATTTGTCCCCCCTCCTCTCCTGCTCCTGCCCCTACCAGACCCTGAGCCCCAGGGGGGCAGCAACCAGGACCTGAACCCCAGCATTTCCCTTCCCAGGGAGCACATGGAAGGGCCATTGGAAGAGAAAGCATGAGCCCCGTCCAGCCCTCGCCCTGTGGTCTCCCATTGGCCAGCCTGAATCTGGGTCCTGCAGAACACAGTTGAATGTGGGGGGGCTTTCCTGAGCTCTGAGTCATCCTGACAAATTAGAGAACCGGAGGGGTTGTGAGAGCCGTGCATTTGCATAGGGTGGTCTGAACCTCCTGGTCATGTGTGGGGGTGGCTTGGAGACTCCTGAACTTGCACTTAGGGCAGTCTTGTCAGGAGCTGTCCCCTTAATCTGAGGGGTGTCTGCATGAACTGGGGGGCACTACAGGAAAGTGCCCTGGATTATCCACACGAGCCTTAAGGTGCAACTGCAGGTGTCCCTGAGAGAGGGCAGCAGAGAGAAACAGGCCCAGAGGAGAAGGCAGGTTGAACAGGAGGCGAGATGCTGCCCTCCCGGCTTTGCGGGGGAAGGGGCCATGCATGGACCAGGAAATAAACGGGGTGCTGCTGAGGAAGCAGGGGGACAAGGATGTGGGTCCCCCCGCAAAGAGGCCAAGGGAGCCTGGTCCTGGGGACACTGAGTTTTGGCTCATTGAAACTATCCTTGCACTTCTGTACTGCACAGAATGTGTGCTTTTCTTTAATCCTTACCCAAGCATATGTTTATTGATGGTTAGAGACACAGGGGACACGGACGGGAGAGAGAAAATTCGGCCAGTTGCCTCCAGTACACGCCCCAAATGGACACAAACCTACAACCCAGGTAGGCCTCCTAACCAGGGGTTGAACCCAGAACTCTGAGGAATACGGCATGACACGCCAACCAACTGAACCCACGACCAGGCCCTAAGCCATCCAGTGGTGGTCGTCTGTTACAGAGACCCTGATGGACCCATGCACCCTGCAGGCTGACCCTCTGGGAAGCTGTCAGTCTGGCTGACAGCTCACTGGGCATGCTCTCTGTCCAGGGGTCAGATGGCTCCGGGCCCAGGCCCAAGCTTTGCTCTGAGCCTCATGTGGAAAGGGCCAGAGAAGAACCGGAGGGCGGCTGACAACACTGAGCAGTGCCCCCTGGCCAGGCTGCGTGGGCCATGTTCTCCCTTCGTCCTGCTCACTCACTGCTCTCAGGGCCAGGCACCCCAGGGCACCCAGCAGCTTTGGTTTTGCACTCAGTTCTCACCCCTCAGTTAGACCTGACTCCCCTGAACACTGCAGGACAGCCCTCAGGGCCCAGGACAGGGGCAGGAAACCTGGGGGGTAGGGTGAGTTCAGATCAAAAGCCCCCAGTGGATGAAGCCTGGCTTTGTGGCCCTGCACCCGCCAATGGGTTCGGCCCTACTTCCTGCCTTTCCACACTCTTCAGGGGCTGGAATCCCATGGGTCCTTGAAAGTTCATCTTCTCTGGGACTTATTTCCCCATTGTCCCACCCAGTGGTCACAGAACCTAAGTGCCCAAGACATAAGGCCCCTCTAGCTCCGATCCCAGCAGCCCCTCTCACACCTGCCTCAGGGCCTTGTCTCAGGCTGCCTGATGTTGCCAGAAGGCAGTGACAGTCTTTGTCAGAGTGGGGCCACCACTCTGGTAACTCAGCACAGTCTCTCTCTCCCCGAGGACAGACTTGGCTCCCTCAGAGGCATCCTGTGTTACTCACTCCTGGATTCCTCCATGGACTGACTCACTGGTCACACCATCCCTGTGCCCAGCTGGACCAGAGTGAGACAGGTGGTGCAGGTGGGGGCCAGGACTGGGCCTGCCTCACTCATGTGTCCCCAGTGTCCCCACAGACCTTCTGGCCCACAGCAAGCCACTCCCTGGGGTTCAGGGCATCATAGAGACATGAGGACACTCAGAGAAACTGGGGTCACTTGCAGGCATCCTGCCAGGGCCTTTGGGATAAAGCTTAGAGGGTTCCCACAGCCAGGAGCCAAGGCTCATATCTCAAACCTGACCTGATGCTCCCTAGGGCTTCAAGGACAGAACAAAACCCCTCTCCTTGAGGCCTCCCAGGCCCGGGAAAAGGGCAAGAAAAACAAACAGCTCCATCTTTGAGCCACCTGACCTTGGCTGGGGAGGACGAGGGGCCAGATCAAAGGGCCCAAGGCCAGGAGTTTGGAAGAGGTGGAGCTCACACTAGGTCCCAGGGGAAGAGGTTGGAGCAGAGGTCCCAGACCACAGGCACTGGACCCAAGTGAGTGGGGCTGTTTCTCCACAATAGCCGTGGGCAGGAGAGAAGACACACACACACTAGATGGTGCTGGGAAGAGCCAGGAGGGCCAGCAGCTGTAGAGATGGCACGGGTGGCAGGTGGCCTGGCTCAGGGGACTGAGTGGGCTCAGCAGCTGAGCCTCTTCTCGCAGATCCAGCTGTCCTTCTCACTGTCACAGGGGGCGTCATTCCATAACCCAGTATGCAGCATCATGACACAGTCCTCAAGTCCCAGGGAGTCATTGGGCTCACCTCGGTTCCAGTGGCTGCAGAGGTTTGGCAGGGGTGTGGGTGGGGTTTGGCTGAGGGTGGCCCTGAGGTCCAGCCCCTTTTTTTGCGTGGGTGTAACTGAGACACCCTGAGGGCCTAACCTAAGTAAGCACCTGGGATATAACTTTATAAAGCCCAGAATCTGTGCCTCAGCCAGTTCCTGGTGGCTAGCTTGGCCATCCCTAAGGAGTGCTTGAGATCGGTCCAATGCACTGGCCCCTAGGGGCTGACCTGTCCTGGTCCCCATCTCCCTTTTCTCACCTGAACCTGAGGGAGACTCCATCTACCCACTGATAGCTATGGACCTTGCTTGCACGACGCACGGCCCTGAGGCCCAGCCAATAACCACGGCCTCTTGTATTTCGACTCAGGAAGCCCTGGATGGAGGAGAGATTAGTCAGCTTGCCAGTGACCTGGGCCCCCAGACATTTTCCAGGACACGCCCCCTGAGGTGAACACCTCCTCCCACCTCTGACCAGACTGCCCTGCCAGCCCACCTGCTCCTCCAGGGAGCCCACAATCACCAGGTGCGCACTGGCACCTGTGCAATTGCGTCGCGCCTCTTCCCATCCAGCTCGCACCACTGAGAAAAAGTAGCAGGAACCCTGGAAGCGCAGCCACGACGTGGGGCACTGCTCACAGGACTCTGTGGGGTGGCAAAGGTTCATGAAGTAGACTGCTCCCCGGTGCAGCAGACGGAGGGGGTTGAGGGTGGGAGGGGCAGACCCATGGAAAGGGCGGATTCAGTCGGATCTGGGACCAACCAGGCCCGCGGGCAGGTCCACTTATCCCCCTGAGCACGCCCATGCCCCTTCCTGCTCACTGTTCCCAGCTCGCACAGCCTCCAACTCCCGGAACAGCTCGCTGCGGATGTTCTCGCGGTCCCTTCCCGCTTCAGCCAAGCTCTGGGTCACTGCGAGATCAGGGGAGTCCAGATTATGTGTGGGTGGGGTCAAGGTCAGGAGAGGGTTGAGATCAGGGGAGGGGCAGCATCACCCGAACCTCGGGGTCCCGGGACCTGAATGCTGGGAGGATCCCGGTGGGGATGGGGTTAAGAGGTGTATCCACGGGCAGCATCTAGGGCTTAGGGTCAGGATGGGGGCGGGATCGGGGTTAGAGGTCAGGATCACAGGGAGCAGGGTGCAAATCACGGGTCGGGGCACTGTAAAGGTGAGGGATCCGGACACGGCAGCATCCCGCCCTCACCGCGCTCGCTCAGTTCTTTCAGGGCGCTCTGCTGCCAGATCAGCTTCAGCTGTGCCTCTTCAAGTTCCCCACGTGCGGTCTTCAGCTGCGCCTGCGCGGCCTGGCCTGGGAGGGGGCGGGGCTATGGGGCGGGGCGTGGGAGTACATTCCCTCCAGACCACAGGACCCGCCCCCCAGGCACCCCGCCCCACCCAAACCTGCAGACCCCGCCTCTCAGCCCACAAGTCTCACAGCAGCTATTGCAGGCTCGGAACTCTTCCTTCAAGGCACCCAGCATCACCTTCTGCCCCGAGGCTGCAAAGACCCCCGCCCAACCCAGACACTCCACGTCACCTACCGGGACTTGCTGAACACCCGTGGCCACTCCCGACCACCTCCGGGGACTTTGGAGTATCCGCCCACCTACCCCCAAACCCGGGAGCCCCTGGTCTGTACACACCATTTGCTCTCAGCAGGTCCTGGTGCCTCTGCAACTCCTCCTGCTGCGTGAAGGCTGTGGAGAGAGGCTCCTGCAGGCGCGGCCTTGGGGACCAGGGGACTCGCCCCTGGCCCGAGAAGTGTGGCAAGTGCAGTCTTGGGACGCACACAGGGGGCGGGCAGGGGGACAGGGCACATGATGTGCCCACGAGCTGAGCAGACACAAGCACACACGGCCGTTCACACACATTCGTGCTGACAGCTCCAAGATGCTCACAAACGTTCCTTCACACTCATTCACCCTCAGTCTCAGGCTGGGGTCTGGGATCTAGCTGAGCACCCTGGGGCAGAGGGCAGACAGAATTAAGCAGGGATTTGGCTGGGGGAGGGGTGGGACACAGTCTCCCCCTCCTACAGAGTCACTCACCCTTGGACAGTAGGATGCTCAGGATGAAGGCCCACAGGAGTGCCGTGACCACGAGAGCCAGGGCCAGGAAGGGGAACCGCCTTCCCCAGCGTCCGCAGGGCCCTTGGGTAACAATAGATTCCTGGGTCCCTCATACCAGGACAGTCCTGGCCCCCTGAGCCCTGAGGACCATGCCCTGGACACTTGGGTCCCAGAAAAGCAGGACTCAGAGAGGTTCAGTGACCTGCCTAATGGCCACAGCCCTTAAGTGATGGAGTTGAAATTTGAATCTACATCCAGTTGCCTCTAGAGCCTGTGGGGTCCCTCCTGCACCCATGACTTGCTCCCTCTCTAGGCTGTTCTCCCCCCTCCCCCATCAAATCCCAAATCAGAGGGACCCTAGGGGCCCGGTGAGGCAGTCCCGCTGCTTGCTCATACCTCTGGGGACCTCTTCCAGCTTGCCACCCCACTGGCTGTACCCGGCAGTGTCCATGGTGAGCAGGCTCCCAGCCCTGGGCACTGATATAAATGTAGCCTCCTCCCTCCCCCCACACTCCCTCTTTGGGGCTTCCTTCCTTATTGTCTTCTCAGTGTCAACTCCTGGTACCAAGGAGCCACTGACCAATCACAAGGCTGGCTGGCCCTTTCTGGGCTGAGCGGGCATTAAGGGTGAGGTGGGGTGGGGGAAGTGGAGGAATGCTGAGTGAAGGGTGTGGGAGACTGCTATGTGGGGGGGGTCTGTGCTGCAGAGGGTGGAGGTCCATAGGAAGTGGAGAGCGGGAGTGCTTCTGAGTGTGCGTGTGCAGGTGTGCTTGCTTGCTCATGTTTTACCTCCCTGGGCTGGTAGATGCAGCAACATCTGCAGACTGGTGCAGGGGGCTTTGCTTTGCAGCTCAGTCCCCACCTCTCACAGGTCAGAGGCTAGGCTCCTTTCCGAGGGGTGCGGCCTGAACCTGTCCAAGCTCCGCTCCTCCTGGGGGGCCCCTGTGAAAGCCCCCTCAGGCCTGGCCCCCCAGGCTAGCCCAGCTTCCCTCCACCGCTCTCCCCCAGTGCATGCCAGAGGCGGACCCTGAACCCAGGCCTCTGCCAGAAGGGAGAACACAGATGGTCAGCCCGGCTACTGGACTGCAGGCTTGGGCAGTTGGGTCGAGGGTGTATGTATGTAGTTTCTAGCAGCCTCGGTTTTCTCCTCTGTGCCAAGGGGCACAGTGACAGGGCCTGTCTCCAAGGGATGTGTGATGAGGGAATGAGGTCATGCACCTCAAGCCCTGGCACCGTCCCCAGGCACAAAACCCACTGCACACTCATTCATTCTTTCAACAAATACTGAATATCCCCTGGGTGCCAGGCTTCGATCCTGGAACTGGACATTGTCTGATGGTGGGGCACAGGTATGGTGACACCTTACTGGGGAGTGAACTTCAGGACGAGGACCTGAGCAGGCAACTCCACAGTGTGGATCAGAACCTACCATGGGGCGTGTGCTGACAGGAGGACCCACCTGGGCAGACCAGCAGGCCCGGCAGTCTCCGCAGGTGGTCCCCAGTACCAGACCCTGCACTGTGCTTGTTCACCTTGTCCCAGAAATAGCAGGGACAATGAGATGTGGGGACAAAGAAGGCAGCACACACCAAGGGCCACACGTCCTGTGGCCTTGTGAAGGATGCTTCCTTCAATGGACACTCCCACCAGTTTGATGTTTATCTGGCCTGTCAGGCCGTTCTGACCCTCAGTGACAGAAACATTTAGGGCCACCATGCAAGGAGCACCTCATCACTGAGCAGAAGGCTTGAAGTGCTTGCTAAGGACACAGAGGTTGGTCCCAGCACAAATCTGGAAGTCAGGTGAGATGCGGACCCAGAGCTACAGCCGGTTCTGTGCACATCTGTGTGTACGAGCCGTCACCCATGGATGCCAAAAGGAGCCAATGCCCTCCTGGCAGCAAGCTCTCTGTGTGGAGGGGGTGGGGTGTGGGGAGAGACAGTAAATAATGAGCTAATGAATAAGGAAGTTCTCTAGAGGGTGGTTCTCATGTGGGGGTTATTCTGCCCCCACCCAGGGGCCAGTGGGCCAAGTGTAGGAGACATCTGGGGGCTCTACAAGCTGGGGTGGGGGGTGATACTGGCATCTAGTGGGGGCAGACCAAGGCTGCTGCTCAATACCAGACCCAGTACTGAAGGTGAGAACCCAAATATAAGACATCCCACGTCCTAAGGGCTATGGAAGAAAATGTCAGGTGGGACAAAGGGCTGGGGGAGTGCTGGGCTGGGGCAGGGGCTGCTGAGTCAGATGGCCAGGGCCCACCTTACTGGGCAGGAGAAGTGTTATTTCGCCAATGGAGCATTGCCGACATTCCAGCCTCTCTGCAGAAGTCCAGACACACCCCTGGAGAGGGTGGAGAATGGTTTCAGGAAGAGTGTGCTCAAGCTGAGGTGTGCACCAAGTCCTCACTGAACTTCGTCTCCATCCAGAGGCATTTTCTACCACTGGGCCGAGGTGGGCGCAGTGTCAGGAATGGAGGCTCTCCTTCCCTCAGAGGGAGGGGCTGTCAGCGCTGCTGGGCTCTTGGCCTGTGTCAGGGGGGCTGCCTCTGAGGAGTTGGAGGCTGCAGACACAGCCCCAGGGGTGAAGAGTGAGGGGTGGCTCTGGGCTTCTGTGGACACATGGGGAGCGCCTGTCACTCTGCTGAGGCTGCCCCGCAGCACACCTCAGCCCCGTGGGCTGGAAGAGAGAGTCCTGAGCTGAGGGGAAGTGACCTCTGAGGACAGTGGGAGGAAATGGGTGCCACTCGGAGTCAGGAGACAGGAAGAGGTTGCTGATGAGCCAGATGGCAACTTCGGGAGGGCCTTGCAGCCTTCGGCTGCCCAGTCTCTGCATCTTCCCCCTGGGCAGGTGCAGGAGCACTTGCTGAGCAACTTGTTTCATTTCCATGACCTTGCAGAAGAGACGCGTGAACATGTGGTGAAATGTCTTTCGAACTGGTGTTTTCCCTACTTTTCTTCGAAACCCTCACCTTTGATTTATAAACTCCCACCCCGGCCTGTGTGGTTCAGTTGATTGGACCAGTGTCCCACAGATGAAAAGTGAGGGTGACATTTCAGGTCAGGACACAGCACAGGTTGCAGCTGGCTGATCCCTGGTCTGGGTTGCACATTCCGGAAGGCAACCAATGGATGTTTCTCTCTCACATCCATTTTTTTTCTCTCTCTCCCTTCTCTCTCATACTTTTTATCCCGCTTAGTCTAAAAAATGCTTTATTTTTCATCAGAGAACTGCTGGGTGCTGCTCCTCCCTTCTTCTCACTGGCCCTGAGAAGGCACACAGCCCTCGGGCGCTGGCTGCCTCTCTGCTCGCCCTCCTGTGGGCTGAGGCCCCCTCTGCGCTGGGTTCAGCAGGCAGCTGAGTGGACTCCTCACACTAATGCACTGCAGTGCCACCTTCGTGAGGGACACAGGGGCAGCCATCACTTCCAGGTGGGGGCTGGCCTGGCCACTCTCTGGCATGGGCTCAGGCACCTGCTCCCAGCCAGCCCTGCATCCAGGCAGCACCGTGCCCCCCTTGCAGTGACCTGGGTAAAGGGAAGCAGAAAGCATCTGGGGTTCATGGCACCGTGGCCTCAAGGGAGATGGGGCTGCAGGATGGCGCACTCGCATCTGCTGCCCCGAGTGGGGAAGAAAGAGTGGCTGTGACAGGCCAGCAGCACTCAGAGAACCACGTGGGGCTGAGCCAGGCCTTCCACAAAATGGGTCCCCCTGCTCCTTGTCCCAAGGTCCCCTGGTCCTGAGACACAGGCCCGTCTGGCCTTCATCAGCAGAGGTGCAGGTGGAGTAGACAGGCCCTGCCCAAACTGACTTAGCAGCAGGTTGGAAGGTGGGTGGGGCAGAGCTTTGTTGGGGCAGTGGCGTGGGGGGCACATGCCCTTCCTGGGGCTCTTGGGCACAGCTGTGCCCAGGAAGGGTGTGGGCGCAGCAGGAGGAAACTGGGACAACCACAGGGAATCTACAGTCTCATCAGAATGTGTTCTTGGGAAAGGTTCTAGAGGGGATGCACGTACCAGCCCTGGTGCAAGAGAAGGAAGGGGTGCATTTGGGGATCACAGTGGGGCATTGCAGGAAAGAAATGGTGGGGACTGGGCCGTCAAGGGCACGTGCACTCTTGACAGGAAAAGGAAGGGTCTAGCAGGCAGAGGGTATGGCTGAGGCAGAGGCAAAGAGGCAGGAAGATGAGTCTCTCTCATATCTATTCAACACCTGGGGCCAAAACTCCCAGTTTGGGGTGTGTGTGTGTGTGTGTGTGTGTGTGTGTGTGTGTGTAGGGGGGAGCGGGTTTGGGAAATGTCCAGCCTGTGAGGGAACCATAAGCTGCCTGCTACCTCCCAACCCTGCCCAGAATTTGCCTCAGGGGAAATGAAAGGGGAAGGGTGGACCCAGGCACAAGCCTGGCCATAGACTTCTGAATGTAGACCTGACCTATAACAGGACAGGGAGACCCATTTTGGGTGGTGGTGGGCAGAAAAGTGGGGGAACATGGACTAGGGATTTTAAAACAATGTGATGAGTCTAGGAAGCACAGAGGACTAGGAGGACCCTTGGAAGCATGTAACTCAGCCTGGGAATATGTGGGAGGGCTTCCTGGAGGAGGTGATGCCTAGACAAGCAGAGTTACACATGAATAGAGTTGTTCTATTGTAGTAAAGTAGTAAAGAACACAAGACATGGGTCATGAAAGAGTTTTCCCAACATGATATTAACACAAGTAAAGGTGGGGAGGGGTGAGGGACCAGACTCTGGGGAAGCTGAGACTGATTCATGAGCAGTAGGCTGGGGCCGGGGTGTCAGCTGGGACCAGATGATGGCAGGATGTGAAAAGTGGGGGCAAGGGGTTTGGACTGATGTGGGAAGAAGGCAAAGTCAAGGCTTTAGCCCCCCGCCCAAGGCCACTCCATGATGTCTATGCTCTCCAGAGACAGGAGTCCTGTTGCTCCCCCAGGAACCCAGGTCAGCACAAAGACAATGATGCTTCTGGGCTGTTGCTTTGAATTCTGGCTTTGCTTTCTCATTATGAAGTACATTATGCCTGCAGCGAGGTGTGCCGAGAAAAAGCTCTGGGGTGGTTGGTGTGTCTGGACGCTTCATACAAATTGCACCACGTGGTCCATATCCTCCCACAGTTTGTTTGTGTTCCCTCCACAAAAGTCGCCAGATATGCCTAGTCAACATCCATTCCTCATTAGAGCAAAGGTGAACACAAGAACACACATGCTTAGTAAACAAAACCCAGGATAAAGCTTCCTTAATTTGATAAGTGGTCAATTCCAGGAACCTGCAGAAATGTCGGACTTACTAGTGAATTTCTGAGAACCAGTTTTGGTAAAATTAAGAACGAAATGAAGGTGCCCATCTTGCTGCTTTGCCAATGCAAAAAGAAAATCAAGAGAAATAAGACCTACACATACTGGAAAGGAAGCGTCAAAGCTGACGGTGTTTGGAAGCCGTGATCGTCCCTCTTAGAAAGTCCTAGCAAATCAACTTTTGGACTCCCAGACG